GAGAAGCGGAGCCAGCATGCTTTCGTGAGTTCTGCTCTGACTTATCACAGCATGTAGCATAGATTTCTTTACCTATAACACCATGGCATTGGCAGCCTCATAAGCTAGGGCAGTCTTACTATTGTCCTTACATGCTAGCACTGATCACCAGGTCATTCTGACAACATGGGAAATGAAGACAACATGGAAATGGGTACACTTGCAGTGTTTCCTGATTGTGTGTGTGTGTGTGTGTGTGTGTGTGTGTGTGTGTGTGTGTGTGTGTTAGGGAAAATAAGGGAGTTAGGTCTTTGTGTTGCCATAGAGAATGTGTGAGGCTACATACAAGGTAGGAAGTTTTAGACTAAATATGGTCTAACCAGACAACTAGAGCAAGTTACTTTGGTGTCTCAATCTCAATGTCTTTTGACACAGGACAGCCAAGCTAGATCATTATTGTGGTCTTTTGATGCCTAACCTAAAATATTTAGTGATAATAAAATTAACAGAAATTTTGAACCATCTCACTTTCAGGGCTAGGACTCACTGACACAACAAAATCCTTGTTAGAACTGAAATGTTTTTTATATATTTCTGTGCCTCCAATAAAGAGCCCCTACCCTGAGTCTCACCAGTACCCAGCTCCCAACCCTCTGGCCACCCCTGGATTTTGGCAATCAGAGTGGAGGCCAGGAACAGTTGGCATTGGGCTCCTGCAGGGCACTGCTCCAGCAGGGGAGCTGGCTGATTGGTCCCAGCCAGGCCACAACACTACTTGTCCAATCACACTGAGGCCTGCAGCAGCAGCAAAGAGAATCCCACTGTATGCCCAGCACCACTCTAAAACCTCTGTGATTCCAAGAGAAGATGAGCTCATACACTAACATGACTTCCCCACACCATAAGTTTGAATATAAGATAGCAGCTGAAAAAGTACCTGGGAATTTGAGAAAATGCACTTTAGTTCATTTCTATAAAATCTGGAGAGCATATTCATTTCACATAAAATAGGTGTCTAGTGTAATTTTTATACTAACATGGGATCATCTCTAACATGTGACAAGCAAATAAAGCAAAATGCAGATGTGCGTATGTTAAAGCAGACACAAACAATGAACTTTGTAAATATATATATGTACATATATATATATATATATATATATATGGTGTATATGTATGTGTACATATAGCACTGGTACTGTATTGGTGTATAGTGCTGGTGCTAATTTGGCAGTCTGTAGGTTTAAGTCTGTTGGGGAGATACCCACAAGGGAAGGGCAGGGTTGCAGACAGAGAACCACAGAGCTAGATGCACACGGACAAAAACTAAAACAAGCCAGGCATAGAGGTGCACTACTATAAATCCAGTTATTCAGGCAGGTAAGACAGGAGGAACACAAGTTTGAGGCCAGTCTGGGCAATTCTACAAGACTCTGTCTCAATAAGAGATGGAGTTATACAAAATTTGTTTGATGGAGTTATACAAAATTTATTTTTGCAATCAGAAGAACCTTGTTTCAAACCTCAGAACCATGATAGATAGATAGATAGATAGATAGATAGATAGATAGATAGATAGATAGATAGATTCATACATGCATACATACATGCATACATATATACATATATACATACATGCATACTATAACAAGTGAAGAGGTAGATGTATGCTGAATTCAGGCAAATGGCTGCCTGTGGAGACCAAAATGAGAATAAGGCCAGAGATGACATCTAAATTGATTTTAATTGTGTTGGTCATGTTTTATCTCTTCTAAGAATAAAACAGATGTAAATAAAAACAGTAAGAGTGCTTTTCTAAATGTCAAGAACCAAAGTGTGCATATTTCTATGTTTCAATGATTTTTATTTCTTGAAAAGAATCAAAGTTTACAGTACTAGCTTCTGCATATCTACAATATCTCTGACCCTCAGAGATAGAGTTAGAAATTGTTTATACATTGCCCCCCACCCCCACCCAACAACCCACTACCCAGGCAGCTTGGATTTCCAAAGTAGCCCTAACTAGCCCATTGCTAGTGTATAATCTGTGCTTTTTTTCTTTTTGATGATTACAACTAAAGTTTCTTCAAGCTAAGTTCAACACACATTTGTTAAACACAGAACACAATTTCAAGCATCCCTGGCCTGAGTGATCCCGATTTCTGCCATGCAATGCTTCTGGTCTAGGAAGACAGAGAGATGATGTGTGAGAAACAAATTGTCAATTCATGGTGATTTCTGTATTATAAAGGCATTTTTACTACATGCTATCTGGGACAGAAGGGAGTTGATGAAGTCTTGGTAAGGAAATCCTCTATGGAAGGACAATAAAAGGAACCTATAAAGGTTTACATGCAAAGAAAAGAACAAGGCAAAGGCAGCCAAGGAGACCTCTTATATTCCAATGTTATGGTTTCAATCTGAAATTTTCACCAAAGGCTCATGTGCTCAAGACTTAGATGCCAGCCTTCGGAGGTAGTAGAACCTTTAAAAGGTAGAAAGAAGGAAATAACGTCACTGGGGGCATGCACTTGATGGAAATACAAGGACCATGACCACTTCCTGTCTCTCGTAGCTTCCTAGCCTCCACAACGTAAGCAGACCTCCTTTGTCACATGCTTCTATCATTTCCTGTACCACCATAAGCCCAAAAGCAAGAAACCAAAAAACCATAGACTAAAACCTCTAAAGCCATGAGTCAAAATAAACTTCTTATCAATACATGTTGACTTACTCAGGTACTTTGTCACCACAACAAAAGGCTAACACACACAGCCAATTACCCTACATATCAGCACTCACAATCACCAGATTAGATACGCAGTATGATTCTCACTTTAAACTTGAAGAAACAGAGGCTCCAACAAGGAAAGTAACCCACAGAAGCCAAAGAACAATTAAAGATTCTTTCCCAAATTCAAAAAGTAAAATGTGAGAATGGGGTGGTTGTGAAGAGATAGGGTTTGCTTAAAACAAAATGGGGAGACTTCTGGTGCCCATGTTATCACACTTTTTCCTAGACTGCAATGAAAACCCAAGCTTTATGCAGCCTGAGGCATTTGTTTATTTATCCTAATGAGATTTAAACACAATCTGGCTTAATAAAGATCAGTGAGCTGCAGGCTTAATTCTAAGCAGTCAGGCTTATGGTTCTACCATCTCATCTTGCTGCCAACTCTAGCCTAATTCTTGTAAGTTGCCATACAAAAAGGTGAAGAACAGGGGACATTTCACTTCCACCTATGTGAATGTGATCTCCTGGCCCAACCAGAGGCCAGAAAAGCAGCTCAGCCTGGGAAAGGGGAGCAGAAGCTGAGAGAGGCTCTGAGGACTGCTGAAGAGGGGCACCGCCCAGGGCGCTGCCTAATCCATCCGACATGGGGACGTTCTGTTCCAGAATAGGATGACAATTAATAGGAAAAATCTGCTCTCCCAGCACTGCCAAGCATGCTGCAGGGTCTCAGCTGGTGGAGTACCTCCTCTAGGGAAGAGCAAGAATGCCCCATTCTTCCCTTTGGTCAACATCTTGACTTTTCTCCTGTACGAAGAGAAAGTTCTAGGAAGGTCCCTGGCAAGATAAGAAAACATTGCAAAAATAATAGTGCCCGTCTTCAAAGCCATGAGCCCAAGGAGTACCCTAACATTGAAGATTTGGAGCTCATTAAGTGGATGTCTCATCTAAACCCATACTTTTTGACACATGGCAGATAAAATATCTCTAATCAAGGTGCCTAGGAGTGGTCTGATCCTGCTTAAATTATCAGACTTCCATTCCTTCTTTCTAATTTGCCTGCACAAGTACTTCCCTTGAGCAGAACATTTCTGATGATCCAAGAAAGCTTGGCTGGCCTCACTATGATTTATCCAGGGCCATCAAAATCAAAAAGTGTAGAGGTATAAGATCCCTGGGAAACTGTACAATCTGACCCCATAGTTTCTGTCCTTCTTTTCCTCTCCAGGTATCTTCTTAGGTATTAGTATTCTCAGCTTTGTAGGAAAGCACAGAATCTTTTGAGAATATAATAAAAGCTATGTGCTAGTTCTATATATGAATACTTAATCCCTGCCATGTACAAACACCCGACCATTTGCACAGTAGTTCAGGGGATACTATCCTTGTGAATGCTGTTTGTGTCCTCTCCTGTGGTACAAGAATTCCAAGAACCACTACCTCCTGTGTAGCCACCAGCTCCTGAGCAGAAGCCATAGAAGTTCATCCTTCCAAGTATCATAGTTTCATTAGCCAACACCAGTCTCAACCTTGTCTAAGCAATCTTTTACTGTCCCTTCATATCCAATTTCACTCAACATGAGTCCTACATGGAAGCCCCAGGTAGGAGTATATCTTCAGATTTAAATTTTGCCTCTGGAACTGATACCTAGACTCCCTTGAGCCTCTCAGTCACATCCATCTCTAGGACCAGGTAGATGGATGCTAATTCACCATGTTCGCCCCTTTCGTACCAGCCTCCTTACCCAGCCTTGGGCTAGAGCCACATCCCACCACCATATCGCCTGCCACAATGAGGCCTAAAACCCTGTGTTGTAGAATCTAGCCAGTAGACTTAAAAGTCATGTTGCTCTTGGCATCCATTCTGGGACTTGGTGTAGAGCTATGTGCTAAGATAATACAGCATGGGCAGTTTTTCAATGTCAGAGTTTCAACTCCATATCTAGCTATGTTGACTCCTTCCCTGACTGCAAAGATAGGCACTAGTGAGAGAAAAACCAAGTTGCTCAAATTAGAAGTCTTTTTACCAAGCAGTAAAGAAACCAAGATCCTCCTCACTTTGCCTCAAATCCACCTTTCTTTTCAAATCATTCAGTTCTCACAAGCCCATCTGAGCAGTGGTTATAACAGCCACAGTAAAGCCACGAGGTCCATGCTATGGTTCCCACTAGGCTCATTGTGGCCTTTCTCCATAAGGACCACTTAAACTACACAACCTGAGGCTTTCCTGGAGAGCACAGAGGTGGAAAGAAAACCCTTGGCAGCCTTGGGATTGAACATCCCACCTTACCCTTCATCCCAAATTTGGACCGTCGACCATACTTGTTGATCATGATGAAGAGAACCACCAGGAGAACGCAGGCAAAAGCAGCAAGTCCAACTGCTATGGACACCTGTTAGGGGTCAAACACAGACAGTCAGGGATGGTTGGGGAAGCCCCAGCACCTTGCACTTACTGTGTACCCAGACAAGAACAGTCCTGCCCCAGTTGCAAATACAGTCCATCAGAATTCTGCTACAGAGTTAGTAACGTCTTTGGAGGAAACAATTTATGAGGCTCTAAGAAAAATTCTAAATTGCTTTACACTTAAGAACATAAATTGCCCAACTTGATTAGAGGAAGTTCCATAATTTAATGTTCTGAGCCCCTCTCACCTGGAGGCCATGTTGCAGATGCAAAAGCAATTCTTCTATTGTTTTAATTAGCAAGAAAATTTTGCATCTTTATCTTGAAATCTTTTCCATAATATTCCTATCCTGGAAGGTCTAAAAGATCTGTACTCTGAAGGCTCCTTTCTTCTCCTCCCCAGGGACAGCTCAGGCTGTGCTTGAGTAGGGTTTGAAAAAGCCACCCTAGGAGATGCCCTAAGCAACTTGGGCTTTTAAGGGTAGCTTGTGCGTGAGCAGGCCCTGCGAACCAGGCCTAGCCTAACAGACTGAGGATTTCAGACTCTTCTCCGCTGAACCCTGGGGCTTGGAAATGATCCTCAAAGACTTCCTCAAACAATGATCTATTCCCATCAAACAAGGAAGGTTTAAACTGCCTGAAAGGAGATCATTCATCATTCCTTTAGCTATTTTTTTTTCTACCTAAAGTACTGAAGTTCCAGGTAAGATAATATTTGGACAAGTAGCAACTCACATGAAGCCAGAAAATGACTACACCAGTAAACATGCCCCTCTGACCAAGAAGTGACTTACCCCAAAAGTGTCTTCCTCTGGTTTGTGAGTCACGGTGATAGGAGGTGTAGGGCTCACATCAGATTCTGAAAAGCATACATGAAGAACGGAAGTTAGCTTTCTAGCCATGGGCTGCTCAGCCACAGTCCCTGTCCCACCTCCAGGCTCCCAGACACTTCCTGCTGGAGAAGGTGCTCCGGGAGGCAGGTTCCCACAGGCTGTCCTACCAGAACTGCAGGGGTTCCAGAGGCCAGGTGCCTGTCTCACCAGTTGGCTGGTGCTGCAGCTCAAGGACAGGCACCATAAGGTATTAAGGACATTCCCAGCCCTCCTCCTACCCCACCCCATAACCTGGGCACATGACCGTGAGCTATGGCACAGAAAAGAGGAAAATGACTTGGGATCCTGGCCAGGGTCTGGATTAGGCACATTGCACTGGAGATGGCAGCTGTTGCTGACATTCTGTTACTACTAGCTGGGGGCATTCCTTCACTTCTCTTTGCCACCTCCATGCCATTCCTTTTTCCCTCTTTGCCCCACAGTGAGACACGATCCTGTAGATTCATGAACAACCCAATATCCCCTCCTCTAACACCTATTTCAGAACGCAGCAGTAGCTCAAATGAAAGGACAGAACCACCTTCCCAGGAACACTACCCATGCTCAATAAGCCCCAGATAAAAATCCAAGTCTCAGTTTACACTGCATCCAGAATCACGCCCTTGGCAAGAAATGGCCCTCATTACAGAATTCTCTGAAGGACATCTATGAGATTACAAGTCCCCTAAGACCAAGGACAACTAAAGAGACCACAGAAGGTATTGACATCAATGCCAAACAGCTGGGGGTACCCCTAAACAGGACTGGTATTTTATCTTGAGCCAGACATTAACCAGAATGATATCAACTGCTGCTGTTATTTCTACTTCCCATGGGGAAGATAAAAGAATAGATACAAGTTTCCCACAACTCACTAGCAAAACTCTGAATCCCTTTAGGACTGGCTAGCCCCAGCCCCAAGTCACTTATAATTTCAGCTTCAGGATTTCATGTGAGGACACATAAGCTTATCAGAAGATCTTGCAAAATTACAATTCTACACAGTGTGGGTTCTGCACAAACTCTTGAATTCCTAAAGCAGGTGAGAAAGACCAGCACCCATGCAGGCCCCAGATTTTCTCTGCAAGAGCAACTGAGTTGCTGATTTAGGGGTCAATGAGAGCACATGAAGTCCTTTTTCCATCTGTCATTGACATGGTTACACCCTAGAAAACTCCCTCGGGGAAACTAAGGTACAGTTTTTTCCCCAATAAAAATGGTCTTGGAACTGCCCAACTAGAACCAAATTTATACTAACTCCTTTTTTGCAGTTCATTCAGATGCCCCCAGCTGCTGTGGGGCTGGAAATAACAAGGCATAGAAAAGAGAGTGGATAGAATTCAATAGTGACCCAAAGTATCAAATGAGTTTCAAATCAAAAGGCAAGGCAGACTTACCAAAGACAAAGATATCTGTACTCTCTGAAAAAAAAAAAGGAATAAAATGTAACTAACAAATATAATACACAGCAGAACAGACCACTACATTATCCTAACAGCCATGACCTCTCCCACTCAGCATGACCCCTGTCCCCACAGCAAGGCACCCACCCAAGTCCTTGGCACATCATCCCTCCTCCTGTGCTGCACTGCCTCTTTAGATAGTCCTCCAAAGGGAGAGGGAAGGAGAAACGAAGCTTCTGGTTCCAAAGGAGTTGGGCCACCCAGCAACTGGAAGCCACGTTCGTTTCATGACAAGATGGAGACTTAAATCCTGATCCAGATCTGGTCCACAACTTTCCCTCCTGCAGGACCCAGAGTGCTGGGGAAGGTGGTGTAGCTTGGGGCAAGCTGTAATCTCAAAGTTGAGAGTCTGCAAACAAGTGCTTCCAGTTTATTCTAGTAGGTCACTGAGTTCTTTTGAATGCCTCTAGAATGTGTCCATTCTCCAGATGGAAATGTGTTATGTGACCTGAGGCCTCCAGAAATGGCTCACCAAATTATAAAAGCTAATCCTTAACTAGATGATGATTATGATCTGAACCTGGAGCTGTGTGACATCATTCAGTTCTTGTAGCCATCCTAAGAGCTTGATAGCATCATCCCCATTTAAAATAAATGAGGAAATAAGTTTACAGAATTAAGTAACTCACTGAATGTCATTCATCTAAGATGATATTAAAGCTCAATTCAAATCCAAACCCAGGGTCTTAGCTACTCTGCAAAAAAAAAAAAAAAAAAAAAAAAGCTCAAATGCAAATTTAGTGAACTGTCTTGAAAGTAATCACTATCAATTTCTGATAATAGGAGGAGGATTTCTTGAAGAAATGGCCAATTTCAGGGTTGGCACAGGGGAAATACAAGCTATTCCCAGAATACCTTATGGTACCGAAAGTAAGAGAATGATTAAAGATTACTGAGGACCTAAAGAGAGAAATCAGGAGCCAATGGAAAGGAGCTCCCAATGGCCAACTGTGGTATAATCTGAACAACAAAATAATAAGAGTAGTAGGTAGTGATGGACCGAACTATGTCCCCCCAAGATCCATATACTGAAGCAGTAACCTGCAGTACCTATGAATGTGACTATATTTGGAGACAGAGTCTTCAATAAGGCACTTAAATTAAAATTAGATCATTACGGTGGCCCTGATCCAATATTACTAGTCCTAATAAGAAGGTTGGGACACAGATAAGCACATGGGAAGACCAACGAGGATACAGGAAGAAGAAAGTGTCTTCTCAGATAAAACGAACCCTGCCAACACTCATCCCAAATTTCCACCCTCTTCAATTGCAAGAAAATAAATTTCTGTTCTTTATGCTACCTCATCTATAGTACTTTATATGACAATCCTAGCAAATGTATCACATGAATTATTGACTAAAATACAGGAATCCATGCTGATACAGATATAAAAGAATACATAAATGAGAGAATAAAGGCAAGTTTTCCTTACAGCATATTTCAAACTAATAAATGCAAACAGAACAATGGAAATAGAAAAATCACCATTTGGCAAGTATAACTGTTATACTTTTTCAGGCAGAACTCCTCAATGAATGTTACAATTAGAATGTGAAAGAATCATGAGAAACGAACTATTTACATAGTTTCAAATCATTATTCTTATTAATTGTACAGGAGGAAAGAGTCACTTTGTAAAGGAGAAACCTGCCAGACACAATCTTGACCAAGGGACAAAGTCACCGCCATCAGTGGTAGGACACACGGGTGTCAGCCACTCCCCAATAGGACAGACTCAAAGGGCAGAGTGCCCCTCCTGTGATGCTGCCAAAATCCATAACCAGAATTTAATCATGAAAAACAAATTAGACAAAGCCATACTGAGGGAGTCTATAACAGTGTAAATTCTTCAAAAGTGCCAAGATTGTGAAAGACAAAGACTGAGGAACTGTCCCGGATGTAAAGAGACCAAGGGGACAAGGCAGCTAAATACAATAAGCAATCCTGACTCCAATCCCAGACAACAAAACCACGGTGGGGCAGAGGTGAGGACCTGCGAGTTGAGACTGCTGTGAGAGGGTGGTGGTGGTGTGCAGTGCTCATGTCCTTTGGATCGCTGGGCTGTGCTTGGTGGGCTGCTGCCATCCAGGGAAGCCAGGAAAGGACACAAGGAAGTGTTTTTGCGCTAGTCTGTAACTTTGGTTTTGGAATGCCCAAATCATTTCAAAATGATACATTAAACATCCTTCAAAATTAGAAAGAGGGGCTGAGACTATAGCTCAGTGGTGGAGCACTTGTCTCAAAAGAAGACTAATGGGCCTCACCTTAGGGATTTGGATTCTGAGTGGTCACAGAAATCTGCCTGCCTGCCTTTCTATCTCTCTCTCTCTCCCTTCCTCTGTCTCTCTCTCTCTCCTTATGTATGTCTTTATTTTATTTATTTATTTATTTTGTGTTAGCCCTAGAGATCAAACCCACACCCTCACACAAGCTCTGCCACAGAACTCAACCCCAGCCCTGACAATTCCCATTTCCCATTTCCTATGGGTTCTCTGGTGATGCTCACACTACCCTTGGGCTCTTCAGAAAAATCACACTGTACCTCACCACCTCCTCCTTCCACAGCTTACTATGCATCCCCAAAATAATAAGAGCAGCTCATTCACTCACTCGTGTGTCACCCACTCACTAGTTCACTGGGGTCTGCCCATTTCTAGGCCCTTGCCTAAGACCTCACAGCTGCTATGATTGTAGCTCTATTAAGGAGGAACCAGCAGATTTTCTTCTCTAACCACCAGGATGGCTCCTGGGAAGGAGTCCCTCAGAGAAGGTCCTGTTCACAGTAAATTCCCTATGGTTCAGTGCACACTTGCTGCCTGTTCTGTGTTATTGTAAGGAAAGCAAGGCTTTCTCCAAAATCCTCAGCATATCCCTCAGGAATATCCTCTCTCATTTGCAGGTACCCAGTGCTTGACACAGGGAGAAGGAGAAGCTGGGGGTGCTCCAGGCTTGGCCTCAGAGCCAGAGCCCAGACAGGAGCCAGTTCATTTGCAAAATCCACTAATTTGCATATTTGCCATAAGGCTTCCATTTATTAGAGAACAGTCTCACATCAGCCAAACGTTTTGGCCAATTGTGAGACTGTGAACCCTGTAATCTCCAAATCAGCCTGTAGATGTTGCAACACTTTGCCAGAGATAGGAAACATTTACATCCAGGGAGCACATGAGCTTTGGAAGCAGTCATTTGGCGGCTCTCTACCTTGGGGCAGGTACTTGGTGGTCTACACCAGAAGAGGATAGCACCAGCTGTGCTTCTCCCCATGGGCCCACAGCAGGCTGGGAGAAGATGGAGCAGAGTGACAAGGACTTCCTGAGTATAAACCTAGCTGTGTCCTGAATGGAAGACACATGTCTCCTACAGTCCCAGACCACAGCTCCTCAGGAAGAGCCCTTCAAGAGGACTTATCCTCCCTACCTGTTATGGTTTGTGTCTAGTACCCCCCCCCCAAAAGCCTCATGCAGTCATTGGGGCAGCTTCTAGAGTTTGTAATTAATTCATGATCCAATGCTGGGATCATGGGTGTGAGTGCTATGCCCGCCCCAGGGTGGGTAATCTGCGTACAATACAAAGGAGGGAGACAGGCATGCTAGTTGCCTCAGCTGCTGCTGCTCCTCCCTTTCCTTTTTGCTGTTTTCCACTGCCATGAATGGCTGCCCTCTTCCATGGCCACTCTGCCTTGGAGCCAGCCGAGTATGGACTGAAACCTCCACTAACTGTGAGCTAAGAAAACCTTTCCTTCCTTAACTTGGATGTCAGGTATTGTGTCCCAGCAATGAAAGAAGAGTAACTAGGACACTGCTGTCTTCAAGGTAGAAGCAGGGAGATTAAACAGTCTTCATGAGGTTACACAGCTGGCAAATGATGCAACAAGAATTTGAACTCTGGCAATGGGGCTCCATAACCACTACCGTAGACTATGCCTTAAGACTATGGGTTAGAACTCACTAGTTTAACCTGAAAATGACTACCAGATCTGGAACTCCCAGTTCTCATCTCTGCATCCTCTGAGTCCTCACAACCAACTACCATTAAGCCTTTCCTCTGTCTGTTAAGCATTTGGCATGCATTACTTCATTTAATCCCCATAGCACCTTGGGCAGCATCTATTGGGATCATCTTCACTTCTCAGGTGAAAAAATGAAGATGGAGGGCAGGGACTATCCTTCCCTGACTGTGCACTAAGCCTCATGCTAGGAGCCCAACCTCCCTCCGTCTGGGAGACCACATGTGGGATTTGTACCTTCACTTGCCTCAGCTCAGAGCCCTTGCCCTAAACCTGGCTTTGCAGCCAGTGTAAGCTTTGGCATAGAAGGTTATCCTGCATCCCCACATGCTCTCCCAGATAATCTGCTCTTCTGAACACTTAGACATCTTGGCACTTGACACGATAGGCCTGTCTCTTTCCTGTCACTGCCTTTCCATCATCTATTGATTCCTTTAGCACCAAGGTACATAAAACCAGCACAGTCATACCCAGGGTGGCCCTGGCAGGGCGTGAACAGGCCTGAGAAAAGGAAAACTGCTCTATCTTCATGCTTTTCTGTGACTCCATCCTCCCTCCCTCCTCTTCCTTGGACCAGATTCCTGCCAAATGTCATGGTAGTAGATTCCAAAGAAGAGAGTATCAGAGTCACCTGGAGGTCTAATAAAGCACAGCTGCAAGACTTGCCCTAGTGTTTCTGATGCCTCAGAATCAAGGAGAGCTTAAGAATCAGTTTTAATCCATTTTCATGCTGATTATCTGAGGACCACTTCTTGAGAACCTCTGGCCTAAGGAACCTGTGGTCCACTCCAGTGATGAAGCAATCAGAAATGTGAAAGGGGCTATTGCAACTCATGAGGAGGCATCCACATGGCTGGGAGGATGCACCTGCTTTCTCCCCAAAAGGGAAGGAGAGACTAAACAAAAGCTGAGTTCATGTCCCATCCAACTGCTCCTATGGCCCTGAGCGCTCAGGGTATCCTCTGGGGAAAAGAGCCTGGAACGAATTACATTTCCTCTTGAGCATTCTGGTGCGCCCTGCTTGCTCCAAGCCCCAGGAGCTTTCTTTTAGAGATAGAAGTGTTGTTGCAAGGGACTTCATTCTTTACTCACTGGGACTTGAGACTCCTCTTTACAGACAGAATTCGGGGTACTGGGTATGGTACAGCACTTGCCTAGCATGTGCAAGGACCGAGGTTGAATCCCTAGCACAAAAAAATATAAAATAATAATAATAATAAAAGAGTGGCAGACACGAGAGGGCAAGTGGCCACACCAGTCTTTTATGTCAACAAGGCCTCACCCAGTTTTGTGGCTCATTGCAACAAATTCTCTACATATCTGGAAGCCAAGATTCTTCTCCTGGCCAACAGAGAGTGCCCAGACCAGTGTGGAAATGCTTTGAGGCCTTTTGCAGGGTACATAGGACAGTGCTGGACATGTCAGACCATAGGAGGTCATCAGGTGCTCAAACATCAGTGCATTTTCAACACTCTTCTGACATGCAGCTCCATCATTCCTGGAACCTCAGTGGCCAAAGTGTAGCTTCCCAGGCAGCCTCCCAAGTATGTGGTTCTGCACAGGCTGTGCAGTCACCTTGGTATAGCCAGGGCTGCAGAGTGCTCAGTCCCACTGCCTCTCCACTGTGCATGTGCACAGGCACGTGTGTGCTGCCAGGCTTCACACTTCCCTTCATCTAAGTAGAAGCCCTGATTTCTGGGAATTGGAGGCCAAAAGCCATCCAGTTTGTTCCTGTCACAAGTCATCAAGGTAAGCAAAGACACATTCATGGCTTTGTACAAAGAACCTTATAAGATGCAGGAACCCCTCAAGAGATGTTGCTACAAATGACCACTTTCACTAAGTTCCGGTGATGTTTACTTCTCCAGCTTTAGGAAGGTGCTTGGAATGTCCCAGCACCCACTCAGAGAGAGACAGAGTCACCTCTCCAAATTCTTAAGCTCTGCCATTACTTTGGTGATTCGCCCTGTCACCAGAGGCTGACAGCATCAGGCACTGCCCCATTAGTCTACCACAGAACACCAGAGCAAACAGCCACCACCTTGGAGCCAGGGCTTCCCAAAATACAGCTGAGGTAATGAGGTCCAGGCCACTCATTTGTTAAACCTGGAGTTGGACTGGATGGGCTGTGAAGTCCCTTACAATGGAAGGTCCCAGAAACATCACCAGGTACCAACCCTATGACCCAAACTTCATATGCCTTAACTCAAAAGCCATGATACTCTTAGGGAAGCAGTATAATGAAACCCATTTCACAGATGAGAAAATGAGGGTGTAGAAAAAATGACTATCAGAAACACAAGGCAAAGATTTCACCATGTTCCTCATCTGAAGTCCCTGCTCTCTCTGCTATGAAGTCCCTTAGGAGTCATAGAATTTGCATGAACTTTCAGTCACAAAATTTGCATAGAATTTGTATCTATTAGAAAAAGGAAATTGAACCCTAGTTGATACAAAATGCAGATGGTAGTTGTGTGTTCCCACATGGGTATAGCTATTATGATCACACTGAGTATGAGCCCCACTTCTCTCCAACTACCACACCCCCCCAGTGCTGAGATGCCCTCACCCGGAAAAGGCTCCTTCAGGAAGTGGCCCCTGATGGTCTGGTTGGCTGTGCCCAGAGGGTTCTTGGCAATGAGGGTATAGTTGCCATTGTTGTAGTGCGTGGGCTTGTTGAAGAGCAGGCAGCCCTCCGCGAGCTCGCCCTCCTGGTAGTACTCCACACGGATGATCTTGGACTCCCGCAGTGGCTGCCCATTGTGCAGCCAGTGCAGCGTTGGTGGCGGGTTGCCCCGCACCACAAACTCGATGCAGTGCTCCAGACGCAGCTCCGGCTCCTCCAGGCTAACCACACGCGGAGGGTCTGTGGGGACAGGCCAGCTAGAGTCTGGGACACTGTGGTAGAAACTCTAAGTCTCCCCTCCCCAGCTCTGAAAAGCCCCAAGGAAGCAGCGGTTCCCCCCAACTCCCCACCAGAGCCATAAAGAAGCCTCTCTTCACCCAAACTTTCTGCATCCAGCCGTACTCAATGGTTCCCTCTGGGAAAATCATCCTAGAAGATGTAGTCACAAAACAAGTATAGCACCTTGGAGGGGAAAGGACACCCTTTTCTCGGTTTGCTCCCCAAAACCTGATTTCTCTATAGGAATGGGCTGGTAGAATGTGTCTGTCCTGGTAGAATGGCCTCAGTGCCCCCACTCCAGCCCGCTCAGGCCCCTGCACCAGCCTGGTACCCAGTGGCCCCCCGAGGTCATACACTTACAGTAGACAGTGAGGGCAACGCTGGCATTGCTCATGCCCACCACATTCTCTGCGATGCAGGTAAGGGTAAAGCCATTGTCCTCACTCGTCACATTCACCAATGTCAAGTTGATGGCATGGACGTTGGTCCAGTTCAGATTTGTCTGAAAATCCCAACAAAAAGACAATGAGATGATTTCTGCTAGAGTAGCACCTCTACCTGCCCACCAAACAGCTTTAGGAATCAAGAGGAAAACAGAGCAGAAGGAGGAAATCTCTAGGAAAAGCATACAGGCCAAATATAGAACTCTTCACAGTAAATGTCTTAGGTAATCCTCATGTCAATAACATAAGGGTAATTGTAGCATTATACCCATTTCACAGATGGGGGAATAAAAGCAGATAGACTAAGTAGCATACATAAGGTCAAAGTGACTTAAAACTATCAGACTTCTGTGGAATCCAACTTTCTGTGCTTCTTCCTATTGGAACAAAATCACAAATGTCCCCTCATGTTTATGACTCAGAGGTGATCACTTCTCGGCCTCCTGAAAGGGGCTTGCCCCAGGATGCCCACCTGGTGGGTGTTGATGGATTGCAGCCCAGTGACTATCCAATCCACATCTGGCAGGGGGGACCCAGACCCATTGCAAGTAATGACAGCATTGTCGCCTTCTCGTACGGTCAGGTTGACGTGGCTCACGCTGATCTCAGGAAGGTCTGGGAGAAGGGGTAGAGGACAAGAGGAGTAAAAGGACAGACAAAAGGTGCCCCAAAGAAGCTGTACTGTGGGCTGATGGTGGTACTTCATTCATTTGTTCATTAATTTTGTGGTTTTTTATATTTTAAAACCCAATTTATCAATAAATTACCTGGGCTGAGCTCCAACTTGCAATCCTCTTGCTTCAGCCTCCCAAGTAGCTGGGATTACAGGTGCAGCCACCACACCGGGCTTGATGATGGACATTCTCGCCTTGCCCACAATAATGCCAGCACAACGCGCATGAGCTCTTAGAAGCCCTGCAGTCCCAGACACTTCCTACATCCTCCCCAGTAGACTATGAGACCTCAGCATGGCACCTGAAGTTGGATGCTCCTTTAGGGCAAGGGTAAGGGGGCACCTGCTCAAGAATGCACATTAGGCAGCGAATCCCAATGCCTCCATCGCACTTCACCTCTCAGACATCAGCCTATTTCAGGTTTCCACAAGTAGCTTGCTAGAAATTTCCATTTCCAGGACCCACCCTAGATCACAAAGGTCTGTGGCTGAGGCCAGAAACTGGCTTTTCTAGAAATGCCCAAGAAGCTTTAGATTCAGGAGTCCAGAGCCCACTTCCTGAGACACTCCTTCAGGTGTGAGTGACAGGTGACCCACAGAGAGAGCAAGCAAAACTGACCTGCCAAGAAGGACATGTGGCACTCTCATCTGTGTTCCTGAAACTGGCCTTGCTGAGGCAGGCTCAGGGACAGGAACGCCCAAAGAGTGTAAGGCGAGTCAGATCTGCACCCCACCAACCGCAGAGTCAAGGCTGGCCCACTCCATCTCAGTGAGGGGCACCTCCCTGGAGCCAGCAGGGTGGGCAGGCTGCTCACTCACCACACTGACTGATGTTCATGCGGAAGAGCGGGAGCTGGGAGCCATCCGCATTGATGCAGTAGAGGCTCTGGCTGTTCAGCCTGGCCTCGCCCTGCTCCTGCCACAGCTGCATCCAGCGGATATCACAGCTGCAGTTGAAGAAGTTCTGCTCCAGTCTCCTGTGGGCAAGAAGAGAGGGGAAGGAACCCCTGAACCGAAGATGACCCAGCCTCCTCTCAGTGCTGTGGAGTCAACAGACCCCAACTGCTCCACAGGGATGAAGGAAGGAGAAGTTAAGAAAGCTCATGGGGGGAGGGAAAAATTATATGACAATGAATCTGCTTGCTTTTAAAAAGAGTAAAAACATTTTTAAACCCATCTCACTTAATGCACCTGGTATATGGGCCAGGTTGGAATGTGCCTCCTCACCATACCCTTGGGTGGCTCCGATTTCATCACAAGTGAAGGTCAAGGTACCACATAGCCTGCAGCATCCTCTCTCACCCTCTGACCTTCGCTCTGCTGACTCTCTTCAGTCAACTGACCTTCTCATGCCTGCCTTAAGACCTTCATACTCTGGGTCCCTGTGGGCTTCCAAGCTCTTATCCATTGTACCTGCAAAAGCCACTCCCCTCCTTTCATTAAGGAATCCTAGGGACTCCTCTGAGCACCAACACAGAAGCCACCATGTGTTCTTGCCCTAGCAAGGTCCAGCCCCTTGTCCTGCTGTATTCTTCTTTCTAGAATTTGTCATCCCTCAGCATCCCTTTAACTATTTAGTTTGTTCATTTGATTTTGCAAATAAAAATGAAGGTGTACTGAAGTCATAAGCATACCTTATTGTCTTCACTGCTATATTCCCAATACTAAAACTGAGGCTGGTTCATGAATTCCTATTGACTGCAAGAAGGAGAATAAGCAAGAGTAACAGGGAACTTAACTTCTCCCCAGGGAAGCAAGGGGTAGGCTATTTCCAAGACATATTCAGAATCCATTTGGGGACCGCCCTGCTTCCTTTGGAAATTCAATGGATCCTTGAAAAATCACCCCCTGTATTCCAGGAGCATTCATCCTGGTGAAGATGAATGTCTGAAGGGGAAAGCATCAAGCTCAAAGCCCTTCTTCTCCACAGATTTTTCCTTATGACTTGAAGTCATGTCCCTCCTTAGTGAGGTTGTTATGAAAACAGTGAATAGCATTAGTCAATTCAAAAACTCTTGAAGTAAAAAGTACCCAGTAAATCTGAATGCCTGGATCATTAAGGGAAACATGATTCTCTCTCTGGACTGTTAAGGGGATCGATTGCTTGGTACCAAAAGAGAGGACACTTGGGTCACTGCACTGAGACCCTAGATATTTTTGACAACTGGCAGATTCCAAAATAGTCAAGCATGCATCAGCACTAAGCAGCTATCAGGAAAATGTGAGGGGGCTGAGGAGAGGAATCAGTGCATCTCAGGCACAAGGACATCTTAGGTAGAACGTGCAAATGTCCCTACATAATACCAGCCTCTTAGCCTAAAAGTTCCCCAGACTTCTCTCTGGATGTAGTGCTTTCAGAAAAGGGGAGAGAAGGGAACTGGCCTTTACTGACCATCTGCCTCCCAAGACAACACCAGGAGTGACATAGTTCCCATGCAGATGAGGGAAACTCGCTGAGGGCCCCTTGGCTGGTGTGGGTCAGAGCAGTTTAAAACCCCAAACTGTTGGACTCTGACACCCACACACAGACCACCCATCTGCTCTGGGAAAAGTATTGCAGGATGCAATGGAGATGCAAAGAGGAGGAGACTGGATGCTGGATTTTGGGGGTTCATGGAGGCAGAGACAGAAGGAAAGAGCTGGAGGGAAGAAGCAAAAACTGAGGTGTGGGACAGGGAAGTCAGATTTAGCCTAGACAGAGGCACCAGGAATTTTGAAAAAATCTAAACTAATAAGCACTCAGACAAAGGTCTGCTCTCTAGAATTTATAAAGAACTAAAGAACATTAGGGCCCCTAAATTTAAAGACCCAATGCAGAAATGGGCATCTGAGATGAACATACACTTCTTAGAGGACAAAATTAAAGAAGCAAATAAATATATGAAAAAATGCTCCACATCACTAGTCATCTGTGAAATGCAAATTAAAACAACACTGAGACACCATCTCACCCCAGAAAGATTGGCTATCATAAAGAAATCAACCAACAACAAATGTTGGAGAGGCTCTGGGGAAAAAGGAACCCTTCTCCACTGCTGGTGGGAGTGTAGACTGGTGCAACCATTATGGAAATCAGTGTGGAGACTCCTTAGAAAACTAGGACTGGAAATCCCATTCAAGCCTTCTATCCCCCTACTGGGAATTCTCCTGGAGGAACCGAAAGAGTCATATCATAGTGATATATGCGTACCTATGTTTATAGCAGCACAATTTGTGATAGTCAGATCTTGGAAACACCCAAGATGCCTATCACATGTGGAATGGTTGAAAAAGATGTGGTACTTTTATATAATGGAGTACTACTCAGCTATAAAGAATGATAAACTTGAAGGCTTCATATTTAAGTGGATGCCACTTGAAGATATATTTATTAGTGAAATAAACCAGACTCACATCTGTAAATATCGTATTGTCTCCCTAGTATAAGGACTTACAATTCCGTATATGGTTAGGTTTCTAAATTTCTTTGTAAAAAATATGTAAATGCTTATTTCTTCTTTTTTTTAATTTTTTTTATTTTTATTTATTTGTGTGTGTGTGTGTGTGTGTGTGTGTGTGTGTGTGTGGCCAGCTCAGCCCACCAGGGGGGCGGGGCTGGCTGGCATGTGGTGCTGGGGGATCGAACCGCAGTCCCTGTGCTTTGACTAAGCTTGTTCTAAGTAGGTGCTTTAGACCACTGATCCATCTCCCCAGTCCCTTATTTCTACTTTTATATAATTATTTTTCCTTCATATTCTCTAGGGACTTAAAGTTCAACATATCAATATCTGATGGAAAATACCTGTTTCATGATATGCCAAAATGTTTGATATTTAGACAGATAGGGTAAACCAAACTGCATATATTGCAGTTTAATAATTAGCTTCTCTTCTGGAGGGTTAACAACCTAAGTTAGCAGTTCAAAATTGGAGAAAAGGAAGGGCTGCAAGGTCAGCCAACATTTTGGCCCTAGCCTTTCAAGGTCAGTGAAGACTCGGGACATAGGAGAACCTGTACTGTAACAACATGTAACTCAGCTGTGCTCCAAATTTTCTGATCAAGAAGATTATGGAGCCACAGAGGGATGTGTTCGATGATGTAAAGTGAGCCTGGGGAGAGTCACATGGAGAGAAAAAACATTTTCTCAAGCTTTTACAGAGAGCAAAATGGTCAAGCAATGGCCGTAACTCATCCTCATGTCAGACACTGACAAAAGGATGTACAAAGGGCAGTACAGGGTCACAGGATAAATCCTGAGAGTACTTGGCTGACCTTATCAGATACAAAAGTTACATTTCTTGGTATATAGGTCTTTCTATATCTTGGTCTTAACCATCCAGCAGAAAAGTATAAAAATGATGTATATAAAGTAAACCCATATTAATATGATGAGCTGTAAAAGGTTCAAGTCAATAACTTCTGAGGATAACCCACTAATATTATAGACTGCTAGATAGTGTTAGATTGTTTAGTTGAATTCAAACACCTATAGTATTTATATGCCAATAGAATATTCACCTCTGACAGGACAAAAAAAGGGGTACAAAGGAAAGATTATTCTGTATTTATATATACAAAATGTTTAGGATAAATTTACAGCTACTTTCGCTTAATTCAATAAGAAGAAAGAGGTGTACTAACAGTGTTTGGACAGAATAACCTGTCTACTATGGATAACCACTAAGAAGATAACAATTTACAATGTATTGATTATCAAAACTGTCCTATTAATCAGCTGTGCAACTGTCTCATTCATATTTATTTGTCAATAAAAATTTTTTTTAAAAAATAGGCACCAGGAAATAAAGCTGGAAGGGTGAGCCGCAGTCAGGTAGTAAAGGGCTTTCACTGCCACATCAGGAGGTCTATAATTCATCCAGGGGACAATGGGAAGCCTTGGGGTCCTTAGAATAAGCTGAGGACTGGTGTGGATATGGTAGCTGTGTAAAGAAAAGAAAAGCAACAATATTGCACAGGATAAACCTGCTAGGAGAAATATAGATGAACTGGTTAGGATGCCCCATAGACACAGGGTCACAATGTAGAACTATGTAGTTTGTATATTTCTCAAAGAACTCAGTCAATGAAACAAATGGGGGATGAAATCTAGACCCCTTGTCCTGGCACTAGACCTCATCTGCCCAAAGGAGCATCTTTTTAAACTCACACATAGGTTTTGTACAGGCCACAGGATCTAGGTCACTACTGTCAAACCCCTTGGATCAAAAGTCCTCCATCTTTACGACTTTTGAGGAACTCAAAAAGCTCTTTTTATGATTTACAGTTTTCAGTATTTACAACATTAGAAATTAAAACTAAGAAAAACTTAAAACAGTAGCATACATTATCATAAATTCCTCAAGTCATCAAGACCGTGAGGTCACCACAAGCTGTGTTTCTCTAGAAAGTCTCACAGTACTCTCTGCATGTAGAAGAGGCTTTTGCAGAAACAGATTCCACTTGATGCTCTCCCTGAAAGGGTTTTGAGAGCCCCCAAATGACCCAAGACCATTTGAGAATGGCTGCCCACTAAACAAGGCCCTAGAGCAGGGTGGTAAGAATCAAGAAGAGGAAAGAGAAAGATTCAAGAAGCATCACCAGGGAACACAAGGTATGATTGGCATTTTGTTGGAGGCAGAAGAAAAAGAAATAGCAAACAATGTAAGAAGAAGAGAAGGGAAAAAGAAGAAAAAGAAACATGGAAGACAAGATTTTAAGCTCATGGGGCAGGAAGGTGATGGTAAAGAGAACTGCCTTTGAGTGAAAGCAGACGAAAGGAGTCCGAGAACAGGAGGAGGTGAAACCTACTGCGAACGTGTGTGCAGCAGGGTGGGGAGGGAAGGGTCAAGAACCCAGAAGGAAAAGAGTAGGAGGAGCCACAAAGCCATGGAGGTGTTTGATGCCAGGTTAAGCAAGATGCCTGTGTGGCTAAGAACTGGAACAGAAAGAAAAGGAAAAGAAGAAGAAAGGCTCAGGGAAATATCAGGGTAATAACACC